GCAATTTATATGAAAATACATTTTGATTTTTGAGGATTCATATCACATAGGTCCGATTATTTTTTAAGTTGTTGTGGGCTCTCTAAAGCAACCATCCTGTATTATTCTGAACTTGAATTTAAAGATAAATAAGTTATTAGATTAAAGATAAATATTTTGGGAGGTTCTCCCATGGCTTTAGATCCGAATCCCGTCCCCAGGCTATTAAAGAAAAAACATATAGATGTAAGCAAATTATCATTTTTCACCATTTATCTTTACTTGACATGTGAGCGAAAGTATTTTTGATGTAAGCAAATTATCATTTTTCACCATTTATCTTTACTTGACATGTGAGCGAAAATATCAAAAATACTTTATCATTGAATTGAGATATTTTAAATAATGAAAATCAATTTTATCGACTCTCTAACGCAACCCTCCTCTATTATTCTGAACTTAATTTTAAAGATACATAAATTATTAGATTAAGATAAATGTTTAGTAAAAATTTTTACATGTTGTAAACAACCGCAGACGATTGGGATGTTCCACTATGGCTCCCATAGTCTTGCGTTTGAATCCTGTCGCTAGATTATTAAAAACAAAGTATATATGTAAACAAAATATCATTTTCGACCATTTATGTTTTTTTACTTGACATGTGAGCGAAAATATCAAAAATACTTTATCATTGAATTGAGATATTTTAAATAACGAAAAACAATTTTATCGACTCTTTAACGCAACACTTCTCCATTATATTGAACTTAATTTTAAAGATACATAAATTTTTAGATTAAGATAAATGTTTCAGGAAAAATTTTGCATGTCGTAAAGTATAGATGTAATCCTCCGCGGGTTACATAGATGGTTTGGAGGTTCTAATATGACTCTCACGGTCTTAGGTTCGAATCCCGCCGCTAGGTCATTAAAAACAAAGTATAGAGGTAAGCAAAATATCATTTTCGACCATTTAGGTCTACTTGACTTGTGAGCTAAAATAGGAAAAAACACTTTATTATTGCATTGAGATAATTTAAGCAATGAAAATCAATTTTATCTTTTCATAGATTTGGGCAGTAAAGAAATTGTTTGAACAAAACAGCAAGCCAAGTTTTGTTAATTCAGCTTCAATCACAGACTTCTATCTAATCTTTTAACCGCATCAATTTAGAACTTGGTTCTCACATATATATATATATATATTAAATTCTTCCACTCCGAAACACATGAGAATTTTTAATGAATTATCACAATCTTAAGATTTTTACACACTGGTGCTAAATTTTAAAATATATGATCATAGTAAGAGACGTCAATTAGTCATTGCCACAAAACTTCTGCTTCTCGGTTTTTCCTGGTTTTACACAGAACAACAGCACCAATTCAATGTAATGAAACATATTGTATATGTAATCCTTGTTACATGTCGGTATAATCTGTAAAAAATTTCTATCAGAATCATTCAAAAACTATAGACCTCACCTCTAACAGGTGAGGGGAAGGCTTCGTCTGAATTAACAATAATCATTTTTTTAATCTACAATCTCCAAAATTTGTCACAAAATCCATTGGGGAAAAAAATAATTGAGCATCTTTGTAATCGATAAACTATTACAAGAGTGTACAATGGAATCAATAACAAAGAAAGACACGAATTTTCCACGACTGGGATCAAGATCCGCGGCTGCGACGCTCCGATCTCGGCAGCGCGGCTCCGCGAAGAGTGCCGACGAATGACCGCACCATCAGAGGCTCATTACCAGAGATCACCCCCAAG